TGCATGTAACCATGTCATTGCTCAGTAGCTTGCTATGCTCTGCTGACCTTGGGACTTACAATGGACTTAAGTTAATGGCTTGCCATGTGTTTTGTTAACCTCGGGACTTCTCAGCCTCAGCAGCCAGCAGCTGTATGAGTGAAGAAACACCTCTAGCTCCAGTGGGCCGGGAGCAAGAGGTAGAGCTGGACCCCAAGGTTGAGGGGCTTTCACCCAGCCCCTAGAGCCTGGCAATTTGAACTTGGACTTAAAGCCTCCAAATTGTAAGAATAAACTCCTGTTCGTTAAGGCCATCTCATTTGTGGTACATTCTTGTCAGAGCGGCACCAGGTAACCAGAACAGGGACATATTTAACATTTTATTTCCTTTTTTCATTTTTTTTTTTTTTCACTTTTATTGTGGTGAAAACATACACAGCAAGACATTCACCAACATAGCAACTTCCACATTTATAGTTCAGGAAGACTGATGACATTTTTCATGTTTATTTTGCATTTTTCTAAAACAATTCTATTTAGATATGTTTTACCTGTATTTGATTCAGGTATTAAAAACTCAATGGTTTTTAGTAATTTTAGTGAGGTGTTCGCCTATCATCATAAATCAGTTTAGTACATTTTATTCACTTTAAATTTAAAAACTGACACTTGATTCAGTTATTGGAAATCTTATACTGACATAAGCATAATAAGGCCTTCTTTTGCTTTTCAGGTCTCAGATGGAAGAGAAGGCCTTTTTGTGATTTCTACTCATTTTCTGTGTATCTGCAATTTAAATGTGCACCACCATGTGGTTTACCTTTCTCTGTGATATTACTCTCCCCAATTCATTAATTCTTCACATTCCTTGATATCTGCCATTCTCTCACCTGTCCATGCTATTTTGCCACTTCCCATCAGGGATTAGGGCCCTTAACCCAATGGGTTCTTAACACAATGAGGAAGTTAGCAGGACAGTATGCTCTGAAATTTTAAGTATTTAAAGATAAATTGAGGTGACAAGAAGACAGTATATTTGGGGTGGACCTATGGAGTAGGTCATTAAAAAAAGTCATTCTACTGAAAATGTTCCTTAGACATCGAGATGCCTCCAAACTTGTATTTAAAAATATCCCCCAAATAAATTTTATGATGATCTTTCATATGAATGATAAATATTATGATAATACAATTATGTAATTTTATAATTTAAAAGACCTGGACTAAGTAGATCATATGGTGTTTTTATAACTTTTACTTGTTTGCTAAAATAATCAGTGTCTACTGTAATAGTTAAATAAGCACTAAATATGAAATGTAAGATTATCAACTGAAAACACTTTGTAAGCCCTGCAGCGATCAGCTTAATGAAAAATTACCAGAGGATGAAATCTCACGCTTCAGATCCAGAAGGAGAACAGATGGCAAATGTGTTAAAGAGGGTTTAACCTATAAGGAATCATATTTAGGTCATTGTGAGCTGAAAAAATGAGATGAGTAGCAAGGAAGAAAAAGGAAAAGTTGAAGAAAATGCTTAACAGGAAGGGAGAAAAGAAATTCAGGAAATAAGAAAAAGGAAGTTTTTTTCCTTCCTTTTTTAAAAAAACTCTCCATTCTTCCCTCCAATGTCCCCTGGTAGTTATTAGTCTTCTTTTGTCTTGATGGATTTACTTATTGTAGATATTTCATGTAAGTGAGATCATATGTCCTTTTGTGTCCGGTTTAAGATAACAGTGTAAGGTTCATCCATGTGGTGGCATGTATCAGAATTTCATTTCTCTTTATAGCTGAATAATACTCCCCTGTATGGATATATACATTTTATTTATCTACTCATGTGTTCATGGACACTTGGGTTGGTTCCATCTTGTGGCTATTGCTAATAATTCTGCAATGAACATTGGTGTGCATGTGTCTGTATGAATCACTGCTTTCACTTTTGGGTATATACCTAGGAGTGAAATCGCTGGGTTGTGTGGTATTTCTGCGTGTTACTTTTTGAGGAACCATCAAAATATTTTCCACCATAGCTGCACGATTTTACATTCCCAACAGTGATGTATGAGGTGAAATTACTGAGATTATGACTCCTAGCTACTCTTTGGGCCTGGAATTGAACTCACTCCCATGGCTTCTAGCCAAACAATGGACAGGTGTAGAGGGTGAACATTTATACCAGGTAGGTACACTCCTTAGAACAATCTACCATGGGAGACTAGAAAGAATTTACATAGGGAGACAATTCAGAGGGCAGGAATGCATAGGAAAGAAGGACACAGGGAAGAGGTAACCATAGGGAGGAAGTGGGAAGAGAGCTGTTACATTATGATGATTGCAATAAATGTCATGTAACAAAAAGTGTATGAACTGTTGTATGGAGAATGCATCAGCTCTGTGAACTTTCACCCAAATCACAATAAATAAAATAAAACAATTACATAATAAAACTGTATTACTTCATTATAGAGAAGCATTGGTAATTCAATAGAATTTTCACCTTCCACAAGAGAGATGTTGGTTCAATTCCCAACGAGTGTACATCATACGCAGCTACCACCCATCTGTCAGTGGTGAAATGTGTTGCTATGATGCTGAGCCAGTTTCAGTGGAGCTTCCAGACTGCTGTTGTTACTAAGTGCCACAGGGCCAATTCTGACTCATAGCAACCCCATGCAGAACAGAAGGAAACACTGTTCAGTCCTGCACCATCCTCACAATTATTGCTATGCTTGAGCCTATCATTGCAACCACTCTGTCACTCTATCTCACTGAATTTTGCTTGATAGTGTTTTGGGTCACTTTGAGTTGGGGGCCAACTTGATGACAGTTAACAACCACCACAATTACCACCTTTTTATAGGGCAAATAATGTCTATGAAATGAATTTGAGAAGAGGTTCAAAGCTTGAGGACTGAGTTTAGTTATATTCAGTTTTGTGACACATCTGATGTTTAGGGCAGTGCCTTGAGTATAAAAAACTTTTAAACTATTGGTTAATTATATAACCAGTTGAACAAATAATCATGTATCTTAAAAAAACAACAACTGGGATTTCAGTTAGGTTTTAAAGCATGTTTGGACTCTGGGGAAGGAGAACAGGTAGGAGAGTTGGAGTGAGGAAAGCAAGGCATCCACACATACATTGTTATTGTTGTTGGGTACCATGGAGTCCGCTTCCACTTACAGTGGCCCTACCAACAGAAGGAAACAGTGCAGAGTCATTCCCCATTCCCACAATCTTTGCTATACTTGACACTATCGTTGTGTCAATCCATCTTGTTGAGGGGCTTCCCCTTTTTCGCTGACCTTCCACTTTACCAAGCCCACACATACATATATCCCTTTAAAATGTATACAAATAGACTCACACTATCTAGAGGGTTTTCTGCATCTTGCTTTTTCCACTAAATAACAGAAATGTGACCTTTCCCTAACAACCTATACAAATCTCCTTCTGTCTTAGTGCTAGCCCTATTCCCTTGTGTGCATGGCTGCTATAATTTAACCAGGCAGCCGGCAATGATGGGAAAGAGTAGGCGGCAGACAGGTCATTTCAGGGTGAGGGGAATTCAGAGAACAATTACTGAAAGTGATAGAGGGGCAGGCCAATTTGGTTGTAGGGTATTAGTGTGAGAGATAAGGCTTGGGGCCAGTGATGGGTGCTTTAGTGTTATTTGAGGCCAATATGATATACTTCCCCTTGTTTGATGTATTGGAGAGGAAGAAGGAAGCCAGCTGGTTTGGGAGGGCATGTGGTGCAACTGGTTAAGTAGTCGACTACTAACTGTAAGGTTAGTAGTTTGAACCCAGCTAGAAGGAAGGTTGGGCAATCCTACTTGCGTAGTGATACCGCCTCGGAAACCCAAGGAGGGGTCGCTATGAGTCGGGGCGACTGGAGGAGGGCACATAACAACAACAACAACAGAGATGCCTTGAGGAGCTCTGGTAGCATAGTGCCTAAGGCACTTGACTGCTAACCAGAAGGCTGGTGGTTCAAACCCACCAGCCACTCCTCGGAAGGAAGATGGGGCAATCTACTTCTGTAGTGATACAGCCTCGCAAACCCAAAGAAGGGTCGATGAGTCGGTGACAGCACATAACAATAGAGACAGCACATAACTTAAGGAGCTCTGGTAGCACAGTGCCTAAGGCATCTGTCTGCTAACCAGAAGATTGGTGGTTCAAACCTACCAGCCAGTTCGAGTAAGGAAGACTAGGCAATCTATTTCCGTAAAGATTTACCGCCTGGGAAACTCAACGGGGTCACTGTGAGTCGAATCCACTCTATGACAGTGGTTTTCTGAAAGGTCACAGCCTCAACTGCAACGCAATCGCATAGCTACGAGTCTGAATCCACTGGATAGCAACTGGTTTCTGAGGCAGTAGTCTTCAGAGAAGTAGATTGCCCAGTCTTCCTTCCGTGGGTTTGAACTACCAGCCTTCCGGTTAGCAGTCAAATGCTTTCGGCACTAGGCCACCAGAGCTCCTTGGAAAAGGTCTATTGTTCCCTTCTTCCTAGGCCCAGGACTATTGCACATGTTCCGCTCAGTGAGAAACCATGGCGGAAACCTAGTCCTTCCGGCCCACTACCTACTACGTACCTCACCTCCGCTCCGCCCCCTCGCAGCGGGAATTCAGATCTCTGGGCGGGCCTTTACTGGTCGCTAGAAGGAGCAGAGATAGGATACTGCGATCGCCAATCAAACTAGCCGGATACCCGGATGTGAAGCAGTGCGCGATACAAAGGCGCGTTTCTCCCCAGAGCTTCGTCCGGTACAGTGGCCAATAAGCAGTCCTGAAACGATAAATGACAGGAAAAGTGACCATTTACAAAGTAGTTTCGCTCACGCATGTGGAAATTCTCTTGCTTGGGCTAACCTACTGTTAGTTTTGATTGGGTATAATTGTGAAGAGCTGTAGAACTGTCTTATTAGGAGCGGGAGCGAGAAACGGAATAGCCAATAGGAAGGTTCATGGAAGTGGGGCGGGGGATAGGCCTTCGCCTCCGCGGTAGAGACGACTCGGGGGCCATTTTGTGAGGAGACGAAGACTAAGCGGTGGCGGCCGCGTTGCCGACATCGAGTAGCAGTCGGCTTCTTCAATTACAACCCGGGAGTGGGAGATTCATAATCCAATCTCTTCTCCCTTCCCCTTCTTGGTAAGTGGAGGGGGCGTATGCAGGGTAGGCACGGGGTTCCTTGAGGGGCGCGAGGGGGTGTGGGAGAGCAGACTAGGAAACCTACCCTCGGTAGAGTAACCGGACCCCCATTTATTCCATTTTCACGGCCGGGGGTAGCGGTTAGGTCTTACGCGGGTGGGAGTTTTATAGGCCTCAGCCGCTGCGTAGATTCGGCCTACTGTCTTTTAGTCCACGACTGACTAAGAAAATGTCTTTGTGCTTTTTCTCTGTGTTTCTATGTTAACGGCTGCTTTCCTTTCGTTTTCTACGATCGTGAGGACCCCTGAGAGGTGTTTATTAATACAGTTCAAGTTTATGTAGTGCTGATATTATCTCCATCTCTTAAATTAGAAAATTGGGCGTGTATGGTGTGGGGGAGGATTACCAATTAGGTATTGTACCGCTATGCTCAGAATTCTGCAGAGTGCTGAAGCGCATAAGAATAAAAATGTAAATGTAGAGATTTACAGATCATTTCTTAATTTACTACTACTTGTGACCCAAGATAGATCTTGAAGTAATTACTTTCAGTTATATTTATAAAAGAAAGTCTTGTGCTCAGATTAACATTAATTATTACAGCTGATTTACTACTTTTTATCTGCAGGTTACAGTTCATTTGAAATATATGTTAGTGGAACTTTGAGGTAGGTATTACTGTCTTTCTCAGATAGAGAAACTGAGGCATAAAAGTGTTGATTGCCAGGGTCATAGTAAATCAACAATAAAACTAGTAAGAAACGTGACCACTGGGTCAGTGAAGAGGTTTTATAGAGTTACTAAAATACTAGATAATAAATACATACAGTACTATATTTGAATCTTTGTAAAACTTCTGGACATTCTCAAACGGTGCTTGTGAAAAATAATTACCAGAATGCATTTGTAATTCACGTAACTTTATAAGATGACAAATTTGACTTTCAGGATATTTTGGTATTCATTTGCCTGGCCAATTCTTTGTGGCAAATAGGCACATTTACATAATTTTTGTTAAGTGTTTTAGGGTCTACTGTTTGTTAAGTACTTACACTTTATTTGAACAGTTTACTAAATTTATAGAAAATGACATAGGTTTTAAGTATCACATTCACTTATCCAGAAAAATGGTTTTTATCCTTGTGTGAGAGTACATTGATTTATTAAAAATGTGTAGCTGACAAAAACTTTAATACCGAAGGGTTAGAAATTCATTTCAAGAATTCTGTTTGTTAGAAAGTAAAATTAGTTTTATTTCAGATAGCTGTGCATTTGTTGATTCTTCACTTTGTAACTAATGAAAATCCTGTAATAGGGCTGTGTGGGATTAAAAAAAAAAACTTAACAAGTTTATTGCTTTGCTGAGCTGTCAGAAATAAGGGGAGCGATTGAGGATTAATTTAGGAACTCTGATAAAAGTACTATTGACAAATCTCAGGAATTTTTAAATTTTTAGGAAGCTTATCGTTAAAGAGTTGAAAATATTCAAAGGACGCTTTTCTTGCCTTGAGGTGTTAGAAATAAGGATTTTTTTTTGGCACCATCATGTACCAAGCTAACTAAACTCTCTGAAACTATTTGGCTGTAGAATTAAACTACGAAAATTTTAGATACGTTCTTACCTAGATTTCCATTAGTACCATTTTCATGTTGGGCTATGCAGAGGAAGAGGGATGACTTGGGTTGTGGATCTTACCTGCTGATAATTCTTTCTGTAGAGAATTTAAATATGACTTATTTGTGATTAGCTCTATAAAAGGCTTGACATGGCATTCAAACTTGTTTTGCATAGAATTGTTAATAGAAACGAGGAATAAAGGCCACCATAGCTAGTAGTTGTAATCCTAAGGATTACATTAACTTGTAAGAGGTACTGAGGAGTATTATTAACCGTTGGAAGAATCTTCAAATAGTTTCAACCTAGAAGTTAGGAGAACTAGGTTTTATTCCCCTTGTTGCTTATTAGCTCTGTCAGTTTAGGCACGTGAGGTAACTTTATGGATTTTAGCTTTATATCAATAAAATAAAGTTTCTAATTTCTATAATGCAAGTCTTACGTTGCCAAAATTGTGAAAAGTGAGCAGAAAAGTAGTTTTATAAGTTTATTATTATTAAGAACTACCTTAATGACAGTATTTCAGTCTTCGCATTTTATTAGTAGTTACCTTTAGAAACATTACTTGTTCATACTTAATTAACATTTATATTTATTCTCAGTGGAAATGGAAGGTACTATTTTATACATGGTAGATTTACTAGAGGATTGACTATGGTGAGATCAGAACTGTAATGCTCTAAAGTGTTCTCTTAGAAATAAATATTGGGAAATTTTGATTTATAAATAGGTTTACCGTAGGATTTAAAAAAAAAAATTCCTTGGTACTTTTATTATGATAGCTTGTAATGTTGGATTTATTTACAGTGCATCAGGAAAAACTATGCTGCTCAAACCTGCTCCTCACAGACACTGGAAATATTAGGCACTTTGTCTAAATAATTGATTGTTATTAAGGGACAGAACACACAGCACACCCCTCCTCCCCATTAGATTTCACAGTGATTCTCCGGCGTAAGCAGACATTAGAATCAGCAGGAGGCTGGTTAAACAGATTGTTGGACCCTACCCCCAGTTTCTGATTAATTCAATTTGGGGTGGAGCCTGAGAATTTGCAATTCAAACAAGTGCCAGGTGATAATGGTGCTCAGCTTGTTGGTTGGCAGACCTCTTATTGAGACTACCCTGTAGAAGAAGGGATCCAAACTTCAGTGAAATCTGATAATGTATAATCTGGTATTTTAATTGCAAAGCGTTAGGAGTAAGTGCTAAAGTTTTGTGGGATGTTTCTAGGTGGGAGTTGATAAGTTTAACATAACATCTTGGGAACATTTTAACTTCTTTCCATTGAAAGATGTAAATGATTTCTTTTCATATTACTGCTGCTTTTTTTGAAGCTCTGTTGTGGCATGCGCATAGGATTTGCTTGTGAATGAGACTTAACCTGAATATTTTGAGCGCCCGGTTCAGGCTGTGGCACTGAATATTTCACCATAACTACATCCTAAACACTGACTTTCCCAACCAAATAACAGTCAGATACACATTCTCTAAAATTCTACATTTTCTGTAATTTGTACTGTTTATATCACATACATACCTAAGCTGGTCTTGCCTTCCCCTTTCAATTTACAGTTAAAATTTTAGTCATAGTGCCCATTCTGTTGTTTCCATCATTAAATAATTGACTCAAGAATCACTTTAAAAAGGTCAGTTTAAAATATTTAGTTTACTCATATTTGTAAAGGAGATTAAGATTCAGTTGTTCATTATACTATGCAGCCAAAGGTTCTTACTTGAACAGTGACTTGTAATTTCAAATCTTGTTTAGGCTTTTTTGAAATAGTGTATATATTTATATATGTATTTAGTATGCTATATGTATCAGCTTCTTAGAAGTTATACCTTGGAATTAGCTATAGCGTTTGGTACACAATAGAACACAGAAGAAACACAAGAAATCCCATAAGGACCATATCATTGTATAAGGTATCATTTTTCCAGCTGTTTCATAACATTAAATGTTCAGTAGCTAAAATAGTTAATCTTTTTTCCCCATCTGTATGCTTTTTTATTTTGTCAGTGAGTGAATTAGTGTGCTCTTTAAAGTATCTTTCCTCCTAACTAGCATCAGGTCTTGTTTGACGTTCATCAATTTTGAGAAGAGATGAGTCATCTCTAAGCTTCCTGGTAGACCATTCACCTTCAGTCTATATTCCTCATAGGAAAAAGTACATGAACTTTATCTTGATATTTGACATTGCTCACTTTATTTCTATTCAATGGCCTGGTTTTCCCTTTATTTTCATTTTCCAAACTGCCGATTACCAAGGTGAATGCTTGAATGTAGATTTTTGTTTAATTTTGGAGACTTCTTTTGAAACCTTTAAATGAATACTAGCATTTAATTAATTAATTGTCACTGATGTAGAGGTGATGGTTTTACAGAGACTCTTCCCCATCCCAGTGGAATGTTATGCTTTACCAAAATGTGTTAGATGCGAGAGACAGATATTTCTGTCTTTGAGGGTCTAGGGCACAACATTTCTGAGGAACTCTGACTCAATCTGTCCCTTCTCCTTTCACAGGGCAGCAAGGCGAACCCCATCCCTACTCACTGGAGCTCAGCTTTGATTTTTAACCTCCCTTCCCCACCCTTCCAGAACACACACATTCCCATTCCAAAAATGATTTTATAAAGACATTTTAAACATAATGATGCAACTTGATGTGCACTACGGCAAATTTATAGGTGTTTTTTTTTTTTTTTAATTGTTTCCAAAAACCAGGACCTGGATTTAAGATGTAATTTTTAAAATTTATTTCTATTTTTTCTTCAGCAGTTGGGTTAGAGGAGGAGGAGCCTTTAGCCTCTCATAAACTGACCTCTACTTCCTCGTGTATTTTTAAGATTGAATAAAATGTGGAAAGGGCTTTGCTTGTTTGCTATTGAGAACTTTACCCTTGCGGTTTTTGTGGAAACTGCTTTTGGAAAGAAAAGAAATAAACTTTACTGACTTGACATTTTTGCACCTCCTGTTTTTCTAATCTGGGCTATTTTTATTTTTGTTTTTTTACAGTGAGATTTTTTTGATCTTCAGCTACAGTAAGTTATTCCAATTTTTTTTTTTACATTTTTCCTGACTTTCCGCTGATTTCCTTTTTATTGTTGTTACTAGTTACTATTATTTATTATTATTATTATACTTATAATGGTGATGATGATGATGATAATGACACTGATTATTTTTAACCAGATTAAAATCGAGTTTTTCTGAATGTTCATAAGAATTTCTCTACCCTCTTGATTGACTTTGGAGTTTTGCATCTTGGGAGAGAAAGCAATGTCATTAGCATTTTTAAGTGGATTGATCACATAAACCTTTTCTCTCCCAACCCCACCCTTGCCCTCATCCCCTCCCCCACACTCAAGAATTTTACTGGC